GCAGAACTTCTTTTTGCGTAGACGGCCTTCGCCGCGCTTATGTATTATAAGCCTTTCTACCTAGAACTCTACTTTCTGTGTCGGAAAAGAGAGGCGGAAGTATTTTTGCGCAGAAATTCTTTATGCGTAGGCGGCCTCCCGCCTTGCTTGGGGATTATAAAGCCTTACTAAGTAGAGTTCTCCTTTCTTTGTTACTGGAAAAGGGGGCGGAAGTATATTTGCGCACAACTTCTTTCTGCGTAGGGGGCCTTCGGCCGCGCTTAGGGATTATAACTTTCACTACGTAGAATTATCCTTTCTGTGTTGCCGTAAAAGAGGGGCGGAACTAGTTTTGCGCAGAACTTCTTTTTGCGTAGGAGGCCTTCGGCCGCGCTTAGGGATTATAACTTTCACTACGAAGAATTATCCTTTCTGTGTAGGCGCCCTTCGGCCCACTTTTAAGTAGACTCCTTTATGTGTTGCCGGAAAAGAGGGGCGGAAGTATTTTTGCGCAGAACTTCTTTTAGCGGAGGTGGCCTACTGCCGCGCTTAGGGATTATAACCCTTAATACTTCCAGTTCTCCTTTCAGTGTTGCCAGAAAAGAGGGACGGAAGTTTTTTTGCGCAGAACTTCTGTTTGCGTAGGCGGCATTCCGCCGCGCTTAGAGATTATAACCCTTACTAAGTAGAATTCTCCTTTCTGTGTTGCCGGAAAAGAAGGGCGGAAGTATATTTGCGCAGAACTTGTTTTGGCGTAGGTGGTCTTCTGCCGCGCTTGGGGATTATAACCCTTAATATTTCCAGTTCTCCCTCCTGTGTTGCCAGAAAAGAAGGACGGAAGTATTTTTGCGCAGAACTTCTTTTTACGTAGGCGGCATTCCGTCGCGCTTAGGGATTATAACCCTTACTACGTAAAATTCTCCTTTCTGTGTTGCCGGAAAAGAGGGGCGGAAGTATTTTTGCGCAGAACTTCTTTTTGCGTAGGTGGTCTTCTGCCGCGCTTAGGGATTATAACCCTTAATACTTCCAGTTCTCCTTTTTGTGTTGCCAGAAAAGAAGGACGGAA